GGGGAACTTTGTGTAGCGTGCTTTGTATTGATATGGGAATCTGGTTTGGGGAATATGTTTGTGTGGTGTGGCGTGGACATCAAGCTGAGCGTGCTTTTTTCGTGTGGATTTGGGTGGGTATCCTGGGAGAGGAGAAGTTGTTGTAGCGTGCGTTGTAGTGATATACGGAAGTCTGGTTGAGGGTATATGTGGTTGTGGTCCTGCGTGGGTATATGGGGAAAGGGAAATCAGTTCGCGCTGTGTTTCCTTTGTATTTTGGGGGAGGGGAGCTTGTTGTAGCGTTGTAGCGTGCGTCGCGGTGATATCCGAAAGTCCGGTTGGGGGAATTTGCTTGTGTGGCGCTGCACGGATATCTTGGGCAGGGGGAAGCTGGTGGCGCGGTGTTCCGTTTTTTTTTTGTTGGGGAGGGGAATTTGTTGTAGCGTGTTTTATAGTTATGTAAGAAAGTCAGGTTGGGGGAATATGTTTGTATGGTGCTGCGTGGATATCCTGGGAAGGGGGAATTTGTTCGCGCGGTGTTTCGTGGATGCCCAGGGAGAGGGGAACTTTTTGTGGCGTGCTTTGTAGTGATATGGGAATCTGGTTGGGGGAATCTGTCTGTGTGGTGTTGCGTGGACATCATGTGGAGCGTTTTTTTTCGTGTGGGTTTGGGTGGGTATCCTCGGAGAGGGGAAATTGTTGTAGCGTGCGTTGTAGCGATATACGGAAGTCCGGTTGGGGGACCCGTCGTTGTGGTCCTGCGTGGATACATGGGGAAGGGGGAATCTGTTCGCGCTGTGTTTCGAGGGTATCTTGGGGGAGGTGAACTTGTTGTAGCGTGCATCGTGGTGATATACGAAAGTCCGGTTGGGGGAATTTGTTTGTTTGGTGCTGCGCGGATATCTTGGGCAGGGGGAAGCTGGTGGCGCGGTGTTCCGTTGTTCATGTGGGAGTGGGGAATTTGTTGTAGCGTGTTTTGTAGTTATATACGAAAGTCTGGTTGGGGGAATCTGTTTGTATGGTGCTGCGTGGATATGCTTGGGAGGGGGAGTCTGTTCGCGCGGTGTGTCGTGGATGCCCAGGGAGAGGGGAACTTTGTGTAGCGTGCTTAGTAGTTATATGGGAATCTGGTTTGGGGAATATGTTTGTGTGGTGTTGCGTGGACATCATGTGGAGCGTTTTTTTTTTTCCGTGTGGGTTTGGGTGGGTATGCTGGGAGAGGGTAAGTTGTTGTAGCGTGCGTTGTAGTGATATACGGAAGTCTGGTTGGGGGAATATGTTGTTGTGGTTCTGCGTGGATATATGGGGAAGGGAGAATCTGTTCGCGCTGTGTTTCGAGGGTATCTTGGGGGAGGGGAATGTGTTGTAGCGTGCGTCGTGGCGATATACGAAAGTCCGGTTGTGGGAATTTGTTTGTGTGGTGCTGCGCGGGTATCTTGGGCAGGGGGATGTTTGCGGCGCCGTGTTCCGCTGCTCTCGTGGGAGTGGGGAATTCGTTGTAGCGTGTGTTGTAGTTATATAAGAAAGTCTGGTTGGGGGAATCTGTGTGTATGGTGCTGCGTGGATATCCTGGGAAGCGGGAATCTGTTCGCGCGGTGTTTCGTAGATGCCCAGGGAGAGGGGAACTTTGTGTAGCGTGCTTTGTAGTGGTATGGGAATCTGGTTGGGGGAATCTGTTTGTGTGGTGTTGCGTGGACATCATGTGGAGCGGGTTTGTTTCGTGTGGGTTCGCGTGGGTATTCTGGGTGATGAAAAGTTGTTGTAGCGTGCGTTGTTGTGATATACGGAAGTATGGTTCGGGGGAATCTGTTGTTGTGGTTCTGCGTGGATGTATGGGAAAGGGGGCATCTTTTCGCGCTGTGTTTCGAGGGTATCTTGGGGGAGGGGAACTTGTTGTAGCGTGCGTCGTGGTGTTATAAGAAAGTCCAGTTGGGGGAATTTGTGTGTGTGGTGTTGCGCGGATATCTTGGGCCGGGGGACGCTGGTGGCGCGGTGTTCCGTTGTTCTTTTCGGAGTGGGGAATTTGTTTTAGCGTGGTTTGTACTTGTATAAGAAAGTCTCCTTGGGGAATATGTTTTTTATGGTGCTGCGTGGATATCCCGGGAAGGGGGAATTTGTTCGCGTGGTTTTCTCGAGGATGCCCAGGGAGAGGTGAACTTTGTGTAGCGTGTTTTTTAGTGACACGGGCTTCTGTTTGGGGGAATCTGTTTGAGTTGTGTTGCGTGGACATCATGTGGAGCGGGCTTTTTTCGGGTGTCTTTGGGTGGGTGTCCTGGAAGAGGGGAAGTTGTTGTAGCGTGCGTTGTGGTGATATACGGAAGTCGGATTGGGGGAATATGTTTGTTCTGTGCTGCGTGGACATTATGGGGTGCATTTTTGTCCGTGTGTTTTTTGGTGGGCTTTCTGGGAGTGGTGAATTTGTTGTAGCGATTTGGTTGCGTGGTGTTCGTGAGTATCCTGGGAGAGGGCAATATGTTCTCGTGGTGTTTCGTGAGGATCCTGGGAGAGGGGAATTTGTTGTAGCGTGCAGTTGTTGGGTACACGAAATTGTAGTTGCGTGGTAGTGATACACGAGAGTCCGGTCGGGAAAGGTCCGAGAGCGAATTGGTGGCTCCAGCCTGGCAGGTATGACGAAGGGGAAGTGTTTTCGCCAGGTCGCCGCGTTCCGCTTTCCGCTGTGAGTGTAGCGTCCAGATGCCACGCTCCGCAGGTCATGGGTCATAGCGTCGCGGAAAGTCATGCAAATCCTTTAAGCGTGAGCGATGATCGTTCGCAATCTTGGGGTTGACGAGGGGGAATTTGTTTTTCTGTCCTTTTAAGGAGACACACAAATTCCCCCCCCCCATCGGTTCACTTTGGCTGACATTATGTCGCCGCAGAAGGGAAGAGGGGAAGGGAGGCTGGGATAGGACGAAGGAGAAAGTCCAGGAGGGTAGGGATACCGGGACGGGTGGAAGGAGACCGGGACGGGTGGAGGGGAAGGGAGGCTGATGGACCCCGGCAGGGGTGGGGATCGACTTTCAACGGATTTCGTTGATTTTGACTAAGAAGGTTGACGTCCAGGTTTGACCTTCGAGCCTCGACGTTCGAGGTTCGCGGCTTTCTGGCCTTTTGGGGGCTCTCCTCGTCGTTGCAGCCTGGCGCAGGTCGAAAAACTGGTGCGTTCGGACCACGGGAGACCTCAGATCTGGAAAAGACTTCAAGAGCAGAGGGGAACGATGAGGTACTGAACATGACAGGTCCACGAAACATTGCCGTACCATCGGGAATTAGAGGCCGCCTTGAATTCTTGACGCTTCGCGTATCTCCACCAGCTCATCCAGGAACGATGGCCAGGAGAGCTGACGGGAGATCGTTGACTTGGGAGATCTCTGGTAGCGAACGTTGAATTGGGTGATCTCTGGTAGCGAAGGGTGCGGGTGTTGCTGCTGGTGCCCCTGCGTTTTATTTCAGGAGAAGCTCGTTAGGGCGCTGCCGGGCAAAAGGATTCTTCCCTTCCCCCGGATTGGCCAGAGGTTGCCGAGGGCCACCTGCCCTCAATCCGTGAAGCTCTTGCAAGATTTTCCATCGAATGTGCGCGGCGCTAAGGCGATAGCCACATATTGAAAACCACCCGCCCTCAATCCGTGAAACACCTGCCATTTTTAAAGCTTCAGAGTCATACATGGTGAGGAAGTCTCAGGCGATCGGCCCGCCCCAAAAACTGGCCTCGGGATGCGACAGGAAGAAGTTATTTATCAGCAGGAAAAAGTTATTCATAAGGAAAATAACTGGAGGAGGAGGAGGAGGAGGAGGAGAAGGAGGAGGAGGAGGAGGAGGAGGAGGAGGAGGAGTTGGAGAAGGAGGAGGAGGCGGAGGAGGGGAGGAGAAGGAGGAGGAAGAGGAGGAGGAGGAGGAGGAGGAGGAGGAGGAGGAGGACCTCCCCCGGCCTACCTATGGCAGTGGTGGTGGAATCTTGACCCGTTATTGTTTTGTCGCAGTCGTTGGGTCTGCTGGGCGCCCCAGGTCCCGCCTGGCCCAGACCCATCGTCGTCTTCGCCCCTTCCCTCTGGTCTTCCCCCTTCCCGCCCCCCCCCTCCCCCTTGTTCGGGTGGCAACTCGTGGGAGCCTCCCATACCATCTCGTCGGCTCCTGCGAATCGACGCCACTCGTCGCCAGTCGGCGCTAATCGACGCTAGATCGACGCTGATCGACGCTAACCGACGCCAAATCGGCGCAATCCCGACCTCCAGACGCTAATCGACGCTAATCGAATCCATGATTTGCTCCCATAGTTTGTTACCGAACCCTTGTCCAGGGCCCCTCGACCCCCTCTTTCGAGCTTCGAGCTACGGACCTCTGGTTCCCCGAGCGGGTGCGGCCCCCTCGTCCCCCCCACCCCCTTTCCCCCGCCGCCCCCTCGTGCAGGAGCCAGGAGCAAGCGTGCCCAGTCCCAGGGACCAGTTGTTTCTTCCTGGGCAGTCTTTGATGGTCCTGGGGTCCGACTTGGTCCCCAGAGGCAGAACGCAAGAATGTCGCCCTCCAAAACCCCCTCTCCAAACGTCGCCTCCCCGGACCTGCCCTGCATCCTGGGCCGACGCGCCAGGGGTCCCCCAGACGGTCCAAGAGACCGACGAGATGGCCGTCTGGCACAGTCTTGAGGCCAATCCTGGGCCGCCTCAGAGGCATCTTGGGCGAACATCGAAGCAGCTCGGAGTCACCGGGGCCATCTTAGAGGCAACTGGGGCCACCTTCCAGGTCTCCCAGATGGGGTCCTGGTAGATAGGGTCGGAGGATCGCGCGGCGTCGCCGATGCATCGGCGATGCGACTCGATGTGGAGCTCGATTTTCCCCACGCCAACGGTTCCGACGCATTGCCGACGTCGCCGATGCATCACCAACGCATCCGCGATGCATCGGCGATGCGGCGCGAATCTCTGACTTCATCTGCTCGGACCAAATGTGGGAGGCCTCTACACCATGGACCGACCTCATGGCGATCAGGGCCCTCTTGGAGACCCCTGCGGGCCCATCATCCGTAGTCATTTTGACTCGAATCGCAGGCTCGAGGTCAGCGGAGAGCTCCACGCGCCGCTGGTCGGGAGCTCGGCCCCGCACCGAGCGATGCCTCCGAAGGGGGTGAAGAGGCACACGCTCAAGGTGAACATCAAGAAGGCCAAGCGCGTGGAGTCTGGCGAGGGGGGGACCGCCGGACTGCGCCGCACCAAGACCGTGGAGCAGATCTACCAGAAGAAGACACCAGTGGAGCACATCCTCCTGCGCCCTGACACCTACGTGGGCTCGGTGGAAAAGCAGGACGACCACCAGTGGGTCTGGAACAGTCAGAAGGAGGAGATGGATTACAGAGGCATAACCTATGTGCCAGCCCTCTACAAGATCTTTGACGAGATTCTGGTCAACTCGGCTGACAACCTGCAGCGGGACAAGAGTATGAACTATATCAAGGTCGAGATCGACACAAAACAGAAACGCATCAAGATCACCAACAACGGCAAGGGGCTTCCCATTGCGATCCACAAGGAGCACAAGGTGTACGTACCAGAGCTCGTCTTCGGCCACTTGCTCACCAGCGACAACTACGACGACACGGAGAAGAAAGTCACCGGCGGCCGCAACGGCTTCGGTGCCAAGCTCACCAACATCTTCAGCACCCGGTTCGTCGTGGAGACGGCCGTGGGCGGCAAGCGCTACTCGCAGAAGTGGACCAGCAACATGGGTAGAAAGGAGAAGCCAGACATCAAGAAGTACTCTGGCGAGCCGTTCACCAGCGTGGAGTTCTGGCCCGACCTTCCGAAGTTCGGGATGTCGGAGCTGGAGGAGGACACCGTGGCGCTGATGCGCAGGCGCGTCTACGACGTGGCTGGCACCAGCGGCGACCGCTGCTCCGTGTACCTCGACGGCAAGAAGCTGCCCGTCAAGAGCTTCGCCGACTACGCGAACCTGTTCCACTCGGCCGATAGCTACGTCCACACGAAGATAGGCAAGCGCTGGGAGCTGGTGGTCGCGAAGTCGGACGGCGAGGGTTTCCAGCACAACTCTTTCGTCAACGCGATAAGCACCCCGAAGGGGGGCACCCACGTCGCCCACGTGGTGGACCAGCTCGTGGAGGCCATCCAGGCCAGGGCCAAGAAGGAAGCGGGCAAGGGCACCGAGATCAAGACCATGCACGTCAAGAACCAGCTCTGGGTGTTCGTCAACTGCCTCATCGAGAATCCGGCCTTCAGCTCGCAAACCAAGGAGCAGATGACGCTCAAGGCGTCCAATTTCGGAAGCACCTGCCCCATCGGCAAGGCCCTCGTGGACGAGATCGTCGAGAAGACCGACGTCGTGTCAGCCGTGATCGCAGAGTCCCAAGCCAAGATGACCGCGCAGATGGACAGGATGGGCAAGGCGGGCGCGAAGGGCAAGCGGGTGCTGGGTATCCCGAAGCTGGAGGACGCCAACGATGCCGGCGGCAAGCACGCCAGCGAGTGTACGCTCATCTTGACGGAGGGGGACAGCGCCAAGGCCTTGGCGGTGGCAGGCCTCGCCGTGGTCGGGCGCGACAGGTACGGTGTGTTCCCTCTGCGCGGGAAGTTGCTCAACGTGCGGGATGTCGCCCAGAAGCAGGTGGCCGAGAACAAGGAGATCATGAGCATTGTCAAGATCCTCGGCCTCAGCTTCGGTCAGAAGGGAGACCAGAAGAAGATGCGGTACGGCTCCGTGATGATCATGGCAGACCAGGACTACGACGGATCTCACATTAAGGGCCTGCTCATCAATTTCTTCCACTTCTGGTGGCCTGACCTCCTCAAGGACGGAGGCTTCGTGAAGGAGTTCGTTACGCCCATCGTCAAGTGTATTAAGGGATCAAGTGTCCACACCTTCTTCACGCAGAACGAGTACGAGGAATGGAAGAAGAAGCACGAGGGGGAGTCCGGTTGGCACGTCAAGTATTACAAGGGCTTGGGCACGAGCACCGCAGCCGAGGCCAAGGAATATTTCAAGGCCATGGAGGAGCACCGCTTGGACTTCGAGTGGAAATCCAACAAGGACGGTGAGCTGATAGACATGGCCTTCAGCAAGACTCGCGCGGACGACCGCAAGGCTTGGATGAACAACTACGAGGAGGGGACCTTCGTGGACCACAACCAGCCCAAAATCTCGTACCAGGACTTCGTCAATCTGGAGCTCGTGCAGTTCTCCAAGTACAGCGTCATGCGCAGTGTGCCCTCGGTAATGGACGGCTTTAAGCCGACGCAGCGCAAGGTGCTCTATTGCTGCTTCAAGCGCAACCTGCGCAGCGATGTGAAGGTGGCACAGCTGGTCGGGTACGTCGGCGAGCACAGCGCGTACCACCACGGAGAGGCTCGAAGAAGAAAGCACTGTATAAGCATACTCTTTTGAGGATTCGCGTGGATTTCTTGGATCTGCGGCGGACACCCCTGGCGGCGCCTCCGGCGCTGATCCGAGAAATCCGCGCGGACCCTCGACAGTTTATGTTAATTCAGTTGTTTCTTCTTCCGGAGGCGTCCCTCGCTGGCACCATCATCTCGATGGCGCAGGACTTCGTCGGCTCCAACAACCTGAACCTGCTCGTGCCATCGGGGCAGTTCGGCACCCGTCTGCAGGGTGGTAGCGACCACGCCAGCGCCAGGTACATCTACACGCGGCTGTCGCCCGTCACGCGGCTTGTCTTCTCGCCGCTGGATGACGCGGTCCTCGACTACCTCGCCGAGGACGGGCAGCGGATCGAGCCGTCGTTCTACGTGCCGGTCATCCCCATGGTGCTGGTGAACGGCGCCGCGGGCATCGGGACCGGCTGGAGCACCGACATCCCGAACTACGACCCCCTCGCCATCATCGAGAACTTGAGGCTGTGGATCGGGAAGAAAAAGATGAGGCCCATGCGGCCGTGGTTCCGTGGGTTCACGGGCGCCATTGAGCACCTCGGCAAGGGCTCCTACTACAGCTGGGGGAAGTACTGGCAAAGCGACAAAGGCCTGGAGATCACGGAGCTGCCGATCCGGAAGTGGACGCAGGACTACAAGGAGTTCCTGCAGACGATGCTGCCTGGAGCCGAGGCCAAGTCCAAGATCTCGGTGCAGGACGTGCGAGAGCACCACACCGAGAAGAACGTGCACTTCTCTGTGAAGATGTCCGACGAGGAGCTGAAGGGCGTGAAGGAGGCAGGTGTTGAGCACTCGTTCAAGCTGTGGGGCAGCATCAATGAGACGAATATGGTCTTGTTCAACTCGGAAGGCAAGATCCAGAAGTACAAAAACGTGCTCGACATTATGGAGGAGTTTGCTGGCGTGCGCCTGAAATATTACGACACCCGGAAGAAGTACCTCATTGACAAGCTGACTCTGGAAAGGGACCTTCTGAACAATCGCGCTCGCTTCATCGGCATGGTGTGCGCCAAGAAGTTGCACATCAACAACCGCAAGAAGGCAGACGTCGTGAAGGACCTTATCAGGTTCAAATTTATGAAGTTCGGGGACACCAAGCCTCCCAGAACAGGCTTCGAATACTTGCTGATCATGCAGATCGCTTCGCTCACGAAGGAAAGGAAGGAGGAGCTGGAGAGGATGGCGAAGGACAAAGCGAACGAGCTCGAGAAGGTGAAGCGCACCTCCATCCAGGCCATGTGGCTGGAGGACCTGAAGAACTTGGAGTCCGCCATCCGTCAGCTCTACGAGTCCGAGAAGGACGAGGATGCGAACCCGAAGGGCAAGAGGGGCTCCAAGCGCAAGGCGCCCGATGCGAAGGCCTCCAAGCCCCAGGGCGAGGACGAGGCTGGAGACGAAGACGCAGCAGACGTGGCCGCTGATCCACTAGACAATCCCTTCAACGACATCGCGCGCTGGACGTCGGGCGCACTCAAGGCGATCTCCGAGGCGGGTGGCCCCACGAAGAAGCGCCGCGCCAAGTGAGGCGCTGCCGCCTGACACGGAGAGGGCGCCACGACAGAGTCTAGAGCACCCTTCGAGTAGGGGATTCGCTACATAATTGACTTACCCCCCAAATTCATTATTACGTGGAGTCTACCAGATACTTACGTAGATTGTTGGTCGACCTACGGGGCAGTCTTCGTAAGTTCGTAGATTCGATTGAGAAATCACTGGTGGGGTAAATCAATTCTGTAGTAGATCCCCTACTCGAACCCTGGGGCCTGCGAAGCAGGCCTGTGCGAGCATTTCCTCTCTAGCGTTCCAGATGGAATGGCTCACCTGCCGCGCTTGGGGAGATGTGGCTGGCGGGTCGGGCCGGGAGACAGTGGAGACCTCTTGGAGGAGCCCCAAAATCACAACACCATTTTCAAGCCTGACGCGCCAAGCACCCCTCCGGCAGGATGCGGGGGCGGCGGATGGAGTACGCTTGCGGTAAGTCACCACCACCCCTTGCCCTTCTGGAGACGTCTGCGTGGTGAAGTGTCGAACGACCGTGCGGCCATGCTAGTGGACAGCGTGTTCCCCCTGGCGCTGTGGACCAGGGGGGACACTGTGGAGGGAGGGGCTCTCTGGTGCCATCTTGGGGCTTAATTTTGGCCAGTCGGGCCGTCAGGGGCTCTTCAGGTTCGTCTTGGGACTTCCTGGGGCCGTCTTGGGGCCCCCTCGGGCCGCGTAGGGGTTGTCTCGAGGTCACCTTGGGCAGTCTTGGGGGCCTCTTCGGGGCCTCTTGGGCCGTCTTGTGGCCGCCTTGGGCATTCGGGCGTCCGAAAAGGCGAGAACGCGATAGCTATCGAACAACTTTCAGGCAATCCATGTTTTGGGCCTCCTGGTGGCCTCTTGGAGGTCATCGTCTTGGGGGCCTTGGGCCATCTTCAAGCCGTCTTGAGTTCGTCTTGGGCCGTCTTCGAGGCATCTTGGGGCCATCTTGGGCTCCTTTTGAGGACGTGCTGGCGGTGTCGAGTGCCATCTGTAGGAGAAGGGCTTGGGATACCAGTTCGCTTTTCGTCTCGTGGGTCCCGCTTTCGGCTCTCTTGGGGCCCTCTTGGGTCCTCTTGGGGGCTTCCTGGGCTGTCTTTGGGCCATCTTGACGCTTTCTTGGCAGCCTCTGGGGCTGTCTTGGGGCGATCTTGAGGGTTTATTGGGTCGGATTGGGCGGTCGGAGGATGGGGAAATGATAACCCCATACTTATTTGAACATCTAAGCGAACTCAATGTTTTTGCCCCTCAGCGCCCTATTTGGAGTCCCTTCTCGAGACGTCCTGAAAGCTTCTGGAGCCGTCTGGAGGCAATCTGGAGCTATCCCCGAGCGTTTCGGAAGCCCTCAGGGCAACTCATGTGCATTTTGGAAGGTCTGGGTCCCGTCCGGGGGAGGACCTCGAGCATTCCTTGGCCTTTTGGGGGGCTGTCTGCGGCCGTTTTCTGGGCTCTTGACTGGGGTTGTTGACGTGGGTCTGCAGATCGTTGTGTGTATATATATATATATGTGTGTTGGTGGTGGTGGTGGTGGTGGTGGTGGTGGTGGTGGTCTGAGTGTATCCCTATTGGATGAAGGAATATCTGTCTCTCTCCCTCTCTCTTTGCATATGTATACAATTTATTTGTCTTCATAATTTGTACTCCGTGTCTCCCTCTCTCCCGCTCTCTCTCTCTCTCTCTCTAGCTTTCCCGCACGAGGCCTATACATGTTCATACTTATCTGGTTCATAACGCATCTGCTAGGTAAGTGTGCTGTATTGTATAGATGTGTGTATGTTCACGTGCATGTGATCGCAGTCTCTCTCTCTCTCTATCACGCGCATACGCATTTGTTCACATGTTTGTTTTTTGGTGGACGTGATCCGTATTTGTTCCAGGCCTGCTATTCTGCCACATTCCTCGCACATTGTGAAACCATGGAGGCTATATTGGCGGACATGAACAAGGCGATGGCCTCGGCGGGCGCATGCAAGGACGTTTTTTCATGTTTGTTTTTCATTCGTGCTGGTTTGCGGGGTGCGCTCTGCTTCTTCTTCTTCTTCATTATCGTGCCCATTCTACTTGGGTCTCCCTCCACCGCCTTCCTTCCGCTCTTTTCCCTCCTCACACTCCTCACCCCTCTCCTCCTCCTTTTGCCACCCTATCCTCCTCCCCTTACACTCCTCCGCCTTCAACCTTCCCTTCTCCCCAATTCCCATCTCTCCCCTTCACCTCCTCCCTCCTTCTTGCCCTCCGCCCTCCTCCCTTTCCATAATGTTTTCTCCGTCTCTTCTCCCTCCCCCATCCTTCCTCCTCCCCCTTCCCTCTTATCCTCCCCCTTTCACTTCCCCTCCCCCCCTCCCCCCCCCCTCTGCACCTCCTCCTCCTGCCCCCATCCCCCGTCCTCCTCCTTCGCCTCCTTCTCCTCCTTCTCCTCCTCCTCCTCTCCTCCCTCCTCCCTCTGCCCCCCCTCTGCCCCCCCCTCTGGTGGCTGCCGCCGGGTCTGTGGCACTGGCCGCCGCACGCCGCCCAGAGGCGACGGGGCGGCGCTCTGCCTGCGAGGCCCGGGGCCTCCGGGACACGTCCCGGCGGCCAGCAGTCGTCCGCACACCCCACGCGCGCGCACCAAGGAGCTTTTTGAACCAGGGGGTGCGTGGTTCACCCTCTGATGGAGCCTGCCCAGTCCCGCCCCCATCCATCCTCCTCCCCCTCTCCTCGCCCTCCTCCTCTTCCTCCTCCAGCCCCCCCTCCAGCCATTCCGACAGCACGTGCCCAACCCCCCCAGCGGATCCAAGTGGGAGGCGATCATTGTCCCATCCAGAGTCCAGAGTACGAACCTCGAGGACACAGCCGTGTGGCAATGTCGACGTCCCCATAAGGGTCCCCGCATAGGAGGTCTCCTAGAGACCTCTCCCAGACCTCCCCCCAGCCTGGGGGGAGGCCTTCCGGAGCCCCCCCCCCAGCTTGGGGGAGGTCTGGTACCAGACCTCCCGTGGTCCTCCACCAGGCCTGGGGGGAGGCCTCCCCCCAGGCTGGGGGGAGGCCTCCCCCAGGCCCCCCCCAGGCCTGGGGGAGGCCTCCAGAGGCAGGCCTCCCAGAGGTCTGGGGGAGGCCCAGGGGAGGCCTCCTGGAGGCCTCCCCCCAGCCTCGGGGGGGGCCTCCCCAGGGAGGTGTCCTCGCGACCTGGGAGACCTCCCCAGGGAGGCCTCCAGGAGGTCTGGGGGAGACCTCTGGGAGGTCTTCCCCCAGCCTGGGGGGAGGCCTCCGGGAGGCCTCCCCTGGTCCTCCTGGAGGCTTGTGAGAGGCCTCCCCCCAGACCTGGTGGAGGACCAGGGGAGGCCTCCGGGAGGCCTCCCCCCAGGCTGGGGGGAGGCCTCCCCCCAGACCTCCCACAGGACCAGGGGAAATCTCCCGGAGACCCCCGGGAGGTTTTTCCTGAGCAGGGGAGGTCTCCAGGAGGACCAGGGGAGGTTTGCCGGAGGCCTCCCCCCAGCCTGGGGGGAGGCCTGCAGGGTCGAATCGACCCGCATGTTAGGGTCAGCCCGTCCCGACTCGTCTCGATTGTTAGGGTCCGCCCTCTTGGCCCGACCCGATCCGCTCGTTCGGGTACTCGCGTGACAGGTCGACGATGTATTAAATTTTATAACCCGCCCGATCCGACCCGACCCGACCTCACCCACCCATTAGGGCCGGCCCGCCCGCCCGGCTTGACCTGCCCGTTACGGTGCGCCCGCGCGGTCCGACCCGTTCTGCTTGTAAGGGGCCCTTAAGTGCAGCGGGTCTGCTCCTCCTTCGGGGTTTAGGGTTTAGGGTTTAGGGTTTAGGGTTTAGGGTTTAGGGTTTAGGGTTTAGGGTTTAGGGTTTAGGGTTTAGGGTTTAGGGTTTAGGGTTTAGGGTTTAGGGTTTAGGGTTTAGGGTTTAGGGTTTAGGGTTTAGGGTTTAGGGTTTAGGGTTTAGGGTTTAGGGTTTAGGGTTTAGGGTTTAGGGTTTAGGGTTTTAGGGTTTAGGGTTTAGGGTTTAGGGTTTAGGGTTTAGGGTTTAGGGTTTAGGGTTTAGGGTTTAGGGTTTAGGGTTTAGGGTTTAGGGTTTAGGGTTTAGGGTTTAGGGTTTAGGGGGTTTAGGGTTTAGGGTTTAGGGTTTAGGGTTTAGGGTTTAGGGTTTAGGGTTTAGGGTTTAGGGTTTAGGGTTTAGGGTTTAGGGTTTAGGGTTTAGGGTTTAGGGTTTAGGGTTTAGGGTTTAGGGTTTAGGGTTTAGGGTTTAGGGTTTAGGGTTTAGGGTTTAGGGTTTAGGGTTTAGGGTTTAGGGTTTAGGGTTTAGGGTTTAGGGTTTAGGGTTTAGGGTTTAGGGTTTAGGGTTTAGGGTTTAGGGTTTAGGGTTTTAGGGTTTTAGGGTTTTTTTAGGGTAGGGTAGGGTAGGGTAGGGTAGGGTTTAGGGTTTAGGGTTTAGGGTTTAGGGTTTAGGGTTTAGGGTTTAGGGTTTAGGGTTTAGGGTTTAGGGTTTAGGGTTTAGGGTTTAGGGTTTAGGGTTTAGGGTTTAGGGTTTAGGGTTTAGGGTTTAGGGTTTAGGGTTTAGGGTTTAGGGTTTAGGGTTTAGGGTTTAGGGTTTAGGGTTTAGGGTTTAGGGTTTAGGGTTTAGGGTTTAGGGTTTAGGGTTTAGGGTTTAGGGTTTAGGGTTTAGGGTTTAGGGTTTAGGGTTTAGGGTTTAGGGTTTAGGGTTTAGGGTTTAGGGTTTAGGGTTTAGGGTTTAGGGTTTAGGGTTTAGGGTTTCCGAGCAGAACCATCCTATCCCCCCCTCACCAGGGTGTAGGGGGGGATGGATGGGTGCGTTGAGTCCCGCCCCATCCGCCCAGAGTCATTGCTTTTAGGGTTTAGGGTGGTCTACCCCCCTCGCTCCCCCCTAGCAAGGGGGGAAGTGTGCAGGCGTCGGCAAGAGTGAGTGGCTTTACGAGTCTTCTGAGTCTTATGAGCCTTTTGCGTCTTCTGAATTGAGTCTTCTTATCCGGCTCGAGCGCCGGCCCAGGTGC